TTTTTTTTTTTTTTTTTTTTGCAGCGAGTGCTCAAGACTGGAATGAAAACGGAAACTTTTACTTCGTTACGTGGTTCGTTTTTATTTCTGCACCAAACTGCGTACAATTATCTTTCAGTTGAATTTTGTTGTATATTTTAACGGGGACAATTTCAGTGAACAAATGGTACACTCAGTTGTACGCTTCCGCGATCGAAGATGTTAAAACGTACAGCATATTTTCTGAAGAATTTTGTATTTAAAAGAAGACGTGTTACAGAAGAGATGGCAAGAGTACCAATAGCAGAGGTAAGCTTGTGTTTTCATTCTGTTAATGCAAAATTCGCTTGCTGGTGTTCGTACTGAAGTTTGTTTTTTGTTTGTTTCTTCTGTTTCAGGTCCCCGCTCATATCCTGTGCCTCAACGTGGCGAGCGGGTGAAACAAAGAACGGTGCATCTCCGAAACTGAAAACATTGTTACAGTTATACGCGGTCTTCCTTGACAAATCCTACATGCCTGTTAGTTTCTTCGTGTTTATCTGCCGGTCTTTCTATTTTTTATTTATTTTTAACAAATTTTGTAATTCACATATATTCAGCTCAGTTCAATTCAGTGTGAACATAAATTAATTACACGTGTACATAGAGCGTGTCCGTGATTAATGCACCTGCACTTTATCTGTTTGGTCACTAATGGCCGACATTTTGAACATCTCCAATAAGAACTGTCTGATGGAATTTCTGTACTATAATTTCCGCTTGTTATTATCGTTTCCTGGTATTCATATGGGCCGTATTCCGGCCGTAGCTTACCTTAGACGATTATGCCAGATTGCATCCTCTTTTCATTCCATTGGATTTCGCAAAATTTTTTACAGAGTAGGGCCTAAAATGACTGGATAAAAAGAATTATCAGGCTGACCTTAAACGTGTTATTTTACTTATGCGTGGCGGCATTCTGCTGTAAACATACCCCCCTCCCAAGGTCTATCCAAAGGGAGAGGCAGTCAAAAAATTTGCTCACAAGCACCTTCGAACTATTTAAGAATGCTTTTGCTAGCTTAAAAATGCTGCAATATTGGCAGTTTCCTTTCTTTCTCCAGTCTCGATTTTTTAAAAAGTCACCTGAAGGTGAGCTGCAGATGTTTAGTTTTCCTTCCCTCCTCCTGGCGTCCATGGCTGTAAATTGAACAAATTATCAAGTTCATGGCGATAGCAGAACATGGGACAAGAATTTTTATGGTGCTCAATTAAATACTGTTTATTGTTTTAATGCTAGTGATTTTCTCGAAATGACCGTGTTTTATGCATGTGTTGTTTATTCGGTAAATCATTTTCTCATTTGAGAACAAAACACGAGGGTCACTCCAAAAGTAATGCGCAACATTTTTTAAGAAAATCAATTTTTATTCTAGACCTTTACTACTTATACAGTATATTGCTACATCCTTTAGGAACAAAATGTCACGTCTCCACATAATCTCGGTCCCTTTCAACTGCCTTACGCCACCTTGGAACTAGGGCCTGTATGCCAACACGGTAAAACTCTGGGCCAGCGCGTCTGAGTCACCGTTTAGTGGCCGTAATGAGAGCATCAACATCTTCAAATCTTGTTCCGCGAAGGGATACCTTCAGTTTACCAAAGAGATGGTAATCAGAGGGTGCCACATCAGGGCTATAAGGAGAGTGTGGCGACGTTGGCCATCCAAGATTTGTGATCTCGTCCTTGGTTTTCTGACTGGCGTGTGGTCGGTCGTTGTCGCGCAACAGCAAACCATCCTGTTTCTGCCAATGTGGTCTAGCAAGACTCAGTCGAGCTTGGAAGTTTCTTTAGCGTTGTCACATATGCGTCAGAATTAATGATGGTTCCTTGTGGCATGATGTCTACAAGCAAAAGCCCTTCCGAATAAAGAAATACCGTAGCCATAACTTTTCCTACTGAAGGCGCAGATTTGGATTTCTTTTCCTTCGACGAGTTCGCTTGGTGCCATTCCATTGATTGCCGCTCTGTTTCTGATTCAAAATGTTGCAGCCATGTTTCATCTCCCGTCACAATTCTTGCAAGAAAGTCATCTCCACCATTCTCATACTGTGCCAAGAGTTCACCGCACACAGTTTTTCGGGTTTCTTTGTGGGCATCTGTCAACATCGTCGGAGCCCACCTTACACAAACTTTTTTCAACCCCAACTGTTTCAATGTTCTGCACACACTTGCTTCCTCAATTCCCAGTTGGACTGACATTTCTTTCAGTCACACGTCTGTCCTTCAAAACCATACCGTTAACACCCTGCACATTGCCAAGTGTTTGTGCGATGTGCGGTCTGTCAGTGCGAAGAGAATCCCGAATATTGGCATGCCCACTTTCACCAGATAATCTACGTGCCCGCCGACTAAATGTACGGCGATCGACAGCGTAATCTCCATACACATTTTTCAGTCTCCTGTGAATGTTTCCCACTGTCTCATTCTCAAAAACAAGAATTCTATAACAACACATTGCTTTTGACCAACATCAAGCGCAGCAGCCAATTTGAAGGAGTGCTATGACAGCGCTACGCATGGGAACGGGTTGAATTAAATTTGAATACAAAGGGGAAGGATCCTTCTATGCACCCTACAAATAGCAAAACTGTAGAATAAAAACTGATTTAAAAAAAAAATGTTGCGCATTACTTCTGGAGTGACCTACGTATATTCAAGTCTTTCAGTTGTGAGGACTTAAAATCAACTGAAGTAGATGGAACAGTCACACTCGGATAATACACGTATAAGAACCATGGATCGATTCTCATCAAAATTTGTCAAAAGAACCGAAATTACATCTAAATGCTAATTTATGCCATAAGTAACACGACCTTTAAAAAATATAAGAAACTACACTGGAATAAAACAAAATCTTGACAACATTTTGTATTGATCCGCGAAACCCAGTTTGATTGACATAGGAAAAGCAGAAGGGCAATGTGAGCACTGATACGTCTAGATAGACGGATGGACATGATGGAACTAACAGGTAGTTCTGAACGCACCAAATGTGTGATTATCATTCGGTGCATATTACTATGTATTCTGTGATATATATAAAAGATGTGAATTAATTTTCATCGGTGTACAGGTGAGAAATGTTATAGAGAATGCTCAAAATCTGCTGAAACAAAGAATACTGTGACGTGAAACCATATTGTCCGTTTGAAGAGTTTTTCAGACCACATAGCTAATAATTTTAAATTATAGGGAATGCATCGTTCTTTGGCTAAACAGGATAAATGCTAACTTTAATTGTTCCTTGGAAAATATATTCCCAGTGTATGGTCATCACTATTGAATATTCAGCTGTTTAAGAAGTTCTCTCTTTATAGAACCTGAAGGATCTTCATTAATTACCAAATCCCACCATTACAATTACAAGTCCAGGAATATTAAATTATTTTTTGCATGAAACATGTCACAAGTCCAACCTATGTTCCTCCCATAATGTCAGAGATCAAGTTTCACAACCATACAGAACCACAGGCAAAATTATAGTTTTGTATATTCTAATTTTTATGTTGTTGGACAGCAGACGAGAAGACAAAAGATTCTGGACTGAATGGTAGTAAGCATTACCCGAGTTCAGTCTTCCTCCTCAATCAGGTTTTGATTTGTTATGGTCGTTCCAAAATATCTGAACTGTGCCACATTTTCAAAACCTCTGTTTCCTATCAGGCTGATAACAATTCTGGAAAATTGGGCGAGGGCACACCAAGGATGCCAACAACTGCAACGCTACCGCAATTTGCGAGAATTGTTTTCAGACCGAGTTGAACATGTGGAACTGAATGGATGCATCTCCTGGAAGACTGACTCTTTTGACTGGAAAGTGTTCATGTTGAAGGAAATAGCGTCTCCTAATCAAGGACTGCTTGGGACAATATATTATGTTTGGTTGGCAAGGCGGGCAAGACAATTTTAATCAGTGGCCAACAGTGGGTGAACGTATATACATTGAGAGAAGGGTTAAGTGGAAGTGCGTTTGGATTTATCATGTTGAACGTGTTGACCGATGTTGAAGTTGTGCAGTGAAAGTTACATGGTTATTGTTTGTTAATATTGGTTGTGTGCGTGTAGCGGAGTGTTGTATTTATTCCAGGCTGTTGAAGAATACAGTATTGCTCTTATATTCATAGTTGACGAAAATGTCAGCGAATTTTTTATTTTTCATCTCATTTGGAATGATATTGCTAGAAAGGACGTCCAGGTATTTTTTTGTTTCGTGTTTGACAGAAGACCAGGCCAATTTGGGGTCTCTCGTTTTCGTCAGCGCTGTGAGTATTTAATGGTGTGCAAGGGATATTTGGTTTAATATTATTTTTAATGGATTTAACGAAACTAATCAAAACCCACTGGTTACCATTAGCGAAGAGCATCTTTTCTGTCGACTTTATGATGTACATGCAGTTGACTCTACATCGTTACTTTGCGGTTATCAGATATAATTTATGTGACAGTTGTGTGTCTCATAGCGATCAAAGCTAATGGCGTAATGAAACCGAAACTGATTGGGAGGATAGGGCAGTAAGTGAATTAGAATATTGTGTGCAAGGTCTAGTAAGTAAGTAAATCGCAAATTGAGCAACAGCTGTAAGAGGTCACCATATTATAAAGTTCCATTTAACCTTTAAATCAGTGCATTCAGAGATAAATTTTGTTTTCTTTGATTCTACATGCCTTGATGTTTTTTTTATGAACATTGAATGCAAACAATAATTGCCTAATGACTGAATCTTCTGATATAACTAGCTGCATCAGTTCATATCAAAGGCTCTGAAGTCAACAGAAACTGACACGATTGGTCACCCTAGATTTTAACACTTTTAGTTTCTGTGTAAATTCCAATTCATATATAAAATAAATGCTTGCTTGTTATGTACAATGAATTCTTAGACAGTACCCTTGTGAAGAGAACTTTTGTATTATGTGTTCACCTGACTTCACCAATGGAGGGTCTTACTCTTCTGAGTGGTTTCTTGAAAGAAAACTCACTGTACCTCCTTTATTAAGAAGCTGCTATGTCTGCTATTCATATTTATTATCAAATGTGATGACATGCTCATGAAACAAGCATTGTTTGGTATGTACATCCAGGTGCAGTAAAATCTTTAAAATTGAGGCTTAATGGTAGAAAGGTGGTCTGGATTAGTGAAGTGCTGGAAGTAATATGCTTCTGTTTCACTCTGCATTTATATGATGCTATTAGTCACACCTCAAACAATTTTGAGCATGAGAAAGGAGTTATTTCACAGTGAGAGTGCAAAATATCTTCAATCTTTATATCTCAGCAAACAACTGAGTGAGAGCGAGTGTGCTGTTCTGACTGAGTCAGGATTGGCCATATTATGTGATCTCCAGATTAACGGGGGTTGGATCAGTGATGCTTTACTATATGAGATCATGAATAATCCTTTAAAAATATGTTTTCTGAGCGCATATGGTAAGACAGTCACTGAAATAAGTTCTTATTGTGATATGTGATATTTTCTGCAGAATTGTGTCCCTCTGCTGCTTTAACTTTTCTGTTTTAATTTTATGGAACCAAGTAAGTTCAGTGGTTGTAGTGACTAGGCTATGGGCTGGATGATGAGGAATTTAGGCTTGATTCCTGGCAAGAGCAAGAGACTTTTCTCTTTTCCACAGCACACCAGTTCTAGGGCCCACCAACTCTTTTATACACTCAGTACAGGAGTAAGGCAGTGGCATGTGAAACTGATCACTTGCCTGTATCAAGTGCCAAGGTTAAAAAGTGTGGAGCTGTACCTCTACCCTCCATACACCTTCATGGCATGGCATTTAATTAACTGCAGGGACTACTTTACCTTAACTTTATTTTAATTTTACAGTTGTATCGCCATGGAGATAGAACTCCAGTTACCTCATACCCAACTGATCCATATAATAACGTCAGCTATTGGCCTGTTGGCTGGGGCCAGCTAACAAATGTAAGTTCTTTTTGTATGAAATTTTTGTGTGGATAACTGCAGTATTAAAAAAATGACTGTAAAGAGGTCAAAATGTAGGGGTGTTTTGCTATCTTGCCAGAAAAGGGGCAAGCAGTATTCTCTTCTTTACTGTTGAACAGTTTTAGATGAAATAAAACAATGTATATATACATGCTATTTAAATATATACACATATAATTGCTTAATGTGCATGGTTCATAGTACACTATGAATGTTTGTTAAGAAGGTTCTGTATGACTTGGATAATTAGCTGAACATATACTAAGGGCTTGCATGAGCCCTGCTGGGGCACTTCCAGCACATGCCTAATCAGATGCAATTATTTTCACATTATCACATTTTCATGTTCTACCGCTCTGGTGCAGTAAAAGTAGTGAGATATTTGTTTCATCTAAATAATTACCTCCTTGGGGCAGAGTCCATTTTGAAAAGTTAATAGCTGCTCAGCTGGTGAAGAAAATATCCCCCCCCCCCAGTAGACCCCAAAGCTTCATTACTGTGACCCTAAGGGCCCATCAGGTGAGGAGTTCTCATCTTCTCCTCCCCAATTTAATCTCTGATCTGGAACACCAGCTACTGTTGCCTGTCTTTGACTAATTAATCAATATATTCACAGCTACCTTCCAAATCTGGAGGCTGTCTTCTCCATTGGCAATCTGAGGATATGCTTTGGTGTGGTAACAAGGGGTCAAGGGGTGCATTTAACATACCATCAGTTCCCATAATGCATGCTTATATGAATTGTTAGCTCACTACAACAAGATGGCATTGGCGATACTTGTTGTGGATGGACATTGCAGTGAGATTGTTTCCCTTGATTCAGTGAGTCATTTTCATTTGTTATTACATGTGCACATACACCCAGCTGTAAGACATGCACTTCTTCCTAAGCGCCATTCCTTCCCCTCCACATGTATTTAGATGCAGTTGCTTCTGTCATGTATTTCCTTCAAGATCAGTGATGTAAACATAGAATGGAAGTCATCACTAGCTTTTCGAATTTGTATTTTGTCAGAAATTTGGTTCAGTATATCATTTGGTTTAGTTAGACAAGGTTAAGTTAGCTGTGCTTTGCTTAGACTTTTCTAGTTGAGATTAGTATTTATGCATAAATACTCTTCATCATAAGTGAGTTAGAAAAATGTGATCTGATTTTAATGCACTGAACTAATTTAGGCAGATTTCAGTTAATAGCCCTCGCTTTAGTGTGAAATGCTTTCTGGCTAGTAAACAGAAGCAGGGAAAGGGGGGAGTGTAGTATTTTGTGTGTGTGCATGAGAATGAGTGAGATGGAAGATGGCTATGAGAGGAGAAGGGAAAATGTGGCCTAGCCATGTTCTATTTATGCAATTTCACCATCTGCTCTGTGACTTTCTCCCTCCCCCTTGTTGTTGCTGCTGCTGCTGTTGTTGAGCTCAAGGAGTACCTGTGTATGGAAAGCATGATAGTTGTCTGCCTGATGCATTGATTCATGAGTGCATTATCACTGCAAAGGAAAGGTACAGTACATTATTTGTGTTTGTAATACATGTTTTGAGGACTGTTATTTCTATGCTTTCGAATATAAACACAAATTTTATGTATGAGGAGTGTTCTATATAATGCCTCCTATTTTTTTAATGAAAACTACAGATACAGAAAGCATAATAATGCAGTTAAATAGAATAAGATTTCAGTTACTTACAGTTATTTTTCCACATAATCACTACCATTCGTTATGCAACTTTTGCGAGCAATGAACAAGAGCCTGTATGCCGTGCCCGTAAAAGTGCACCAGCAGAGACTAGCCACATTCTTACAGCTGCAATGACAGCACCGTTGTCTTGAAAATATTGCCCACGTAGTCCATCTTTCATAGGCCCAAAGAGATGGAAGTCTGAAGGTGCTAAATCGGAGCTATAAGGTGGATGTGGTAGGACAGTCCAGCCAAAGTTTGCAATGTGCGTGGTGGTCGCCAAACTGGTATGGGGTCTAGTGTTATCATGTTGCAAGTGAAAGGTTGTCTGCTTCTCTGGCCTGAATCAGGAAATGCGGGCTTTCAGCTTAGTCAGTGTTGTCTTGTAGTGTTCAGAATTGGCAGTCTCACCAGACTCCAGGAAATCCAAGAAAATCACATCCTGCCTATCCAAAAAGACCGTGCACATCACTTTCCCTTCCAATGGCTGTGTCTTGAATTTCTTTTTTCTTGGGGAATCCGGATGTCACCACTCCATGGACTGTTTTTTTTAATTCTGGCTCGTAGTGGTGACACCATGTCTCATATCCGGTGACGATGCTGTCCAGAAACTTGTCACCTTCAGCCTCAAACTGGTACAACAGTTCCTGACAGAATTCCACTCGATGAGTTTTGTGGTCCTGTGTAAGCATCCACGGGACCCACCTGGAACAAACTTTGCAATAATCCAGCTTCCCCAATGTTGTTTCCAATGCATTACAGCCTATATTAAGCCATGCACACAGTTTCCTGGCTGTTATCCGCCGATCTGTACGGTTGAGCTGATTGAGGTGCTGTTCATTGTGAGGAGTGGCAGTTGTGCAGGGATGCCCAGCGCATGGTTTGTCCTGCACTTCACTTTCACCACTGTTGAAACACACTACCCACCGCCTCACTGTGCTGACATCCACTGTATCGTCTCCAAACACCTTTAGCAAGCGTCAGTGGATGTCAGTGGGTGCAATTTGTTCGGCAGTGAGAAATTCAATAACATCTCTGTTTCGGACGCACTTCTATGTCAGACGCCATTTTGGTAGACTGCTCTTCTGTCGCTATCTTGTCGCATGACAACCAAACTAACAGTACATTGGTGGAAAGGTTCAACCTTTACTACAACACCACCAACATCCAGCTCAGATATTACAGATGAACACAAAGAAATAGGAAGCATTATATACAGAACACCCTTCATATCTTGAGGACTGTTCAATGTGCATTTGTGATGAGGCATCATCTGGCAGGTAGAGTGGTGAGAGGTAAGACTGATGATCTTAAAGTTATAATTTGGTTCATTGATGTATGGGTATATATTTTGTGGTTTCCTTATGTGTATTATGAAAGCACAGATGAGGGTGAACGGTGTGTATGAGGAAAAGAAACTGACTTTCAAAGGAACGTGAGGTTATGGAACTTACTGCTATTAAAGTAACAAAATTTTGTGTGAACCATTATGAATTAATTTAAAGTGTGTTCAGGTGCAGTATTCTGTCTCCTTTTTTAACTAATAATAATAACTAATTGGTTTGGGATTTCAACAGATTGGCAAGTGTCAGCATTATGAATTGGGTCAGTGGCTACGCCAGAGGTACAGCAAATTGATTCCTGAAGCATATTCCCCTGAAGATATTTATGTTCGTTCTACAGACGTTGACAGGACACTTATGAGTGCTGCTAGTAATCTGGCAGGGTTGTATCCTCCAGAGGGTGATCAGAAATGGAATAGGAATATAGACTGGCAGCCAATACCAATCCACACAGTTCCAGAAAAAATGGATGAGGTGCTAATGTTTCTTGTTTTAGTGCTTAATTATTCTCTAGCTAGTAATAGTTTTTGAAAGAACAAATAAAATTTTCTTCAATTCTGATACTGTATTGTATGACATAAGGCTTTGCAATAGTTTATTGAAGGTCACAGTGCAAGAGCTGGTGTAGACCTGCCCCTTATGCATTCATTCATGGCATAAGGCTCCTGTGGTCTGAGGATCCTGAACATTGGGTTCAGATACTGCTCATGTCATCACTGTTTTCATTTTTCTGTTTTGTCCTGAGATGATAGAGGCTTAACAGTGTGCCGATATCCTTTCTAGAGAATCCCTTAACATGTTTATAAGGTTTAGAAAACCTTAACCCAATCAGAGGAGATTCAGACTTGAGCTGGGTTGTAACACCAAGGAAGATGGAATACACTGTATTTGTTGCTAAGTATTGTTTGCAAGATTCCCACTTCTTTATAAGATTCAGTCGTAAGTTTGTCTTCAATCAGTTTTTGTAAACATGAATGTATGGCGCCACTCTTCCTTCAGTTTTATTTGTTCTAGGCCATGTCGCTCACTAACCTGACTGAGGCTTCTCATGGTTTGTCTCATCCCTCCAAACATATTCCAGGATGGTACCTCATTTAGGTCACTAGTGCTACCTTCCACACCCTTTCCATTTCATCATTCACTAATCATCCTACCAGTTGACACTGAGGTACCAACAGTATCCTCAAATAAACCATAAGAAATAATTTGTTATGTTCATGTTTCTAACCTCCTGTCACTTCATCTCTCTTTGGTCCAAATATTATCCTCAACGCCCTGGGAGAGACGAATGCATATAGGATATTGGTGGGAAAGCCAGAAGGAAAGAGACCACTGGGAAGACCAAGGCGTAGGTGGGTGGACAATATTAAAATGGATCTTAGAGAGTTAAGATAGGATGGTATGGGTTGGATTGATCTGGCTCAGGATAGAGACCAGTGGAGGGCTCTTGTGAACACAGTAATGAACCTTCGGGTTCCATAAAATGCAGGGAAATTCTTGAGTAGCTGCACAATTGGTGTCTCCTCCAGAAGGGCTCTGCTCCACGAGTAAGTAAGGAAGTGCATTCCTGTTTAACTACAAGAACATCATCTTTGAGATTCTTCATTTTGGTATCAACTATGCTGCTCAGTTTTAGTTTTTAGGTTTCCATGGCTAGAGCTTTCAGAAATACACCAAACAGAATGTTGAAGCTTTTTCAGTGTTTTGGCAGATATTACAATTGCCTTCTTCAGGGTTAATTTGTTTAAGATGACAGTTGGAGTTGGCAGTTCTTATATGTATCTTGTAATAGGTAGTGTGTGGGAGGCAAAAGCATGATTGGATGAGCAGAGCAGTGGGATGATAGCCAGTAGGGATTGACCATGTGGTGAAAAATGTTTTGGAGTTCAGGTGAACATGAAAAGAGGCAATAAAAAATGTTCGAGCATTCACACAGCATAACCTGTCTTCAGGTTTACCTGAACTCCAAATCATGCTTTGTCACATTTTCACTAAGTGGTTGCTCCCAGTTAGTCCCTCTTCTCGTGCAATCACTGCTTCACCTCCAACACACTGTCTAATTTGAAATTAATATAAGCTGCACCAAATCCCCTACCAAAGTCTTTAACTCTGAAGATGGTAACTAGTGTTTGTGTTAAATATTCTGCGTGGCATATTTCCTAAAGGAGAAGCTGTGGATTATAGTGTTTGAGTTTGCATCATTAACATAATTCATAAATCGGAGCCGGTGAAGAGGATGTGTTTTGGCCAATTGAATATTGTGTCACATATACAAATGTGTTTTTCAGCATATGGGGCAGAAATTGATAGGTTGGGATTGTCAGTATTGCCCACAAAGTAGTAATATGCATGTACACATTCACATGTTCACATGTTGATCCATTAGATTGGTGTAGAGCATAGTGAAATTTTCAGAGTATACAGGAGCTCAGTGTTTGTCAGTCTTTCTGTAAAAGTGATTGGAATTTTATTTCCAACCAAAAACAAAATCAAATGCAAAGCATTCAGTTTGAATTGATGAAATAACTACAGAAAGTAAGATTTTAAGCACAGTGTACATGAATAAAAGACTAGGGAGGAATAAATGAAATAGTTAAATGACTTACCTTAATTAGGTTGAATGAAACTTTTTTAATTGTAAGGTGTAACACCTTCCCTTCTACTAAAATTTCTTAGTATAGTTGATGGCTTAAGTCTGTATGGCCATGGATCTGGTAAAGTAGAGTGAATAAATTAAAGCTATGCATATGTTCACACTATCGACCTTCTGTCAATTATTGCCATATAAAAGCAAATGTGTAACCTGTGTTTTGTACTGTTGTCTCTAATGAACATAAATTAAATGAAGAAGAGTGGCATGTTTTTCAAATGTCTGTTATAATTTTATGATCCTACATCTAAATTCTACCACCTAATAATTTTGAGCAACTGCTGTGCTTGTGTCTCAGAAGGCTTTAAAATGTAGTACTGTGATGATCTCACAGTTTCATGAAGGTCTCTGAATGTCATATTTGAGTTTTGCACTCCTGTTCTGTATTTAGGAGGCCATCTTAACTGTCATGTCATGCTTTTTATAGTTTTCCTCGGTTTATTTAGGAAAATGCCAGAATTGTACTTTGGATTAGGCCACAACTGCTACCTTCCACATTCTTCAAATTTATTATTCCCTAATAAACTTATCATTTGAGGTTATGTAGTCTGAGCTGTTGATTGTGTTGCTGAATAACTCATAAATAAATCAATTAATGAAAATCAGAAGGACTGAAAGTTATCTGAGGGTGTACAAAGAGAATGCTGTTATGCACAACTATTTTTATGTTATGAAACCAGCTCAAAACAAGTGGATCAAGAGAGATAAAACCAAGTAACAGTTGATGCATGAGTGTGAATACTAGAAAATGTTCAGGAAAGTTATATGTGTGATTAACTTAATCTTATTTCATATCATTTTGAATAATTTTCTTGAAACAAAATTTCTATTATGTAATATAGAACCCTTTCAGATTCTTGCTGGGAAACGTCCATGTGCACAATATGAAGCTGAACTTTTACGGGTGAAGACTTCTCCTGAAGTGAGACGCTACAATGAAGAGCATGCCGACTTGTACAGATACACAAGTGAGCAGTCAGGAAACAAGATACATGATGCAGAGAGTCTAGAGTTCCTCTACAATACACTCTTTATAGAGGAGCTGTACAACTTTACCTTACCCAACTGGACAAAGAAAGTTTTCCCAGAACAGATGATGTCTGTGGCATCATACAGCTTCACAATACCAGCTAAAACTAAGTTATTACAAAGGCTGAAGATCGGTAAGTTGGTTTGGGATTGTGAGGTATTGATTATCAGAGTAGTTAGGTATGAAAATTCTGTGAAATTTATTATGTCCCTTCAGTTAATCCATCATCTATTTTCAGTTAACTGCTTTAAACAGCCATGCTTAGAGCCAGTATTCAAATAATAGAAATCTTCCCCAGCAGTTGAATGTACATGTAATATGGAGTGAACAGGAGATGCATATGAAGGATAACGTAGAAATGGACTCTGAAGATGTAGAAAATAATGAGAATATCTTGAATGGTTATATTTCATGAAATATTTGACTTATGGTAGTAATTTTTTCCAAATATCAAAAAGGCGTTCATAAATAATTTTCTATAGATTTAAATATTGTAATGTGTGTCTCTTAGCAAGCACCCTGGCAGGAGTCAATTCCTTTCCATACTTGGCTCATCATGTGAGAAGTAGCAGTTAAAATGAATACAACAGTTCCTTCCTCAAAGCACACTAAATCATGAAATTTGATGGAATAGACACTGTTCTTAATGTTTTTCCCTAGAATTATTTCAGATTGATTCAAATTAGGATTTATGGGTGGCCACACATTCAGACCACTTATTCAGTTCCCGTGGTGTAAACATTTTCCAATTAAGTCTTGCTGAACATTCGTGTTGAAATACGATGGTGTGCCATTTTGTTGAATAAATGACATTCCACTTTAAAACTGATTCTTTTTTAATGTCTGGGTATCTCTTTAAAGATAGGCCATTGTAAATCTTCTTTATTGTAACAGTGTTTTATTTTGCATGAGAATTTTCTGTAGTACTCACAGATTTGATTACATTTTTTCTGTTTGCAGGTCCCTTGGTGGGACAAGTAATAAGTCACATGATGCAAAAACGAGAAGGTATCATGAAGCCTGATTACAAGTTGACTGTGTATTCAGCTCATGACACTACAGTTGCAAATTTTCTTATGGCTTTGGGTGTATTTGATCCACAAAGCCCACCATATACATCTTTGGTGCTTGTTGAACTCTGGAAAAATGATCACGAAGAGTTTCAAGTTAGGGTGAGAACCATGGAGATTGTTTTGGGCTTTACTGAGGCCAGGTTGAAAATTTAAATGCAGTAGAGGGTAAAGAAGCTGATCACAGTGGCTGCACAGTCTAAGGCATGAACTTTCTCTGCTCATTTGAACACTGGGGTCATGTGTTTGAAGCCCACTCAGGGCATGGATGTCTATATGCATTTATTCTGTGTTTGTGTTGTTCTGTGTGTAGGTAGCGGCCTTGTGATGGGCCGACCTCCCGTCCAAAGAGTCCTAAAAACTATGTGTATATTGCTAAACAGGAAAAGTGGCAAAGGCTCAACAAAGGGCTGTAGAGTCATTAAAGAAAAAGAGGGTAAAGAACAGTATCGTGTTGAAATCTGAAATAGGTCTGCAGCTTTGGAAAACTTAGATGCTGAGGTGGATATTAATAGAGTTTGGGAAACTATTAAGTGTATCAAAATTTCAGCCAAAGATAATTATTTTCATTTCATGCATCCTGTTGTGTTATAATATACAATTTCTTTATTAAAACCGTCACAACACAACTATATTAAGGTCAATGCCTAGTTTGGCTCTGCTACATGTTTCGACTATTAAAAGCCATCATCAGGCAAATACATGGCTAACATACATGGTGTGTTCAAAAGGTATCGAACCTTCTGTTTTCCCGCGTAAACCAATGAAGCGCGGGAGGCTCCCTTCGATGGAGATGTGGAGGGGACATTCATGCGCAGTCGTGAATTTTTTCCCGCCCGCAGAAAGCGTCAGTCGCTGGCAGTTGGCCTATGAGTGAGGACGTGTAGTGAGCGCTCGTCGGATTCCAGTATGGTGTAAAATGATGGAACAACATGAGCTGCGATATTGCATCAAATTTTGCCAAAAGCTTGGCGATACCCAAGTGGAAACCATTCACAAGATTCAACAGGCTTTTGGGGACGATGCCATGAGCAACTCATGGATAAAGGAGTGGTACAACCGTTTCAAAGATGGTCACACATCAGTAGACAGTGAACCGCGTTCAGGCAGACCCTCAACAAGCCAAAATGAGAATGTCATTGAGCAAGTGCGGACTTTGATCATGGAGGACCGTTGTATCACAGTCCTAGAACTTGCGACTGAGATAGAGGTAAGCATTGGATTGGTACAGTCAATTTTGACCGAGGATTTGGGCATGAGGAGAGTGTCCACGAAATTCATACCGAAACTGCTAACAATGGAGCAGAAGCAAAGCCATCTGGAAATCGCACAGGACATGCTGGACAATGCAAACAGTAACACCAACTTTCTGAACACCGTGATCACAGGCAATGAGTCGTGGGTTTATGGGTATGACCTGGAAACCAAGATGCAGTCGTCACAGTGGAAACATCCGACATATCCGAGGTCAAAAAAAGCATGGCAGATGCGCAGCAATGTCAAGGTCATGTTGGCGATTTTCTTCGACTCCCATGGGGTTGTGCATCATGAGTACGCACCACAAGGCCAAACCATCACAAAGGAACACTACCAGGAGGTCCTCCGTCGCCTTTGTGATGCTGTGTGGCACAAATGACCAGATCTGTGAGCAGCAAAAACTTGGCAGCTCCATCATGATAAGGCACCCGCCCATTCTGCGCATCTGATTCAGACTTTCGTCACCAAACACAACATCCCTGTGGTTCGTCAGGCTCTCTACTCCCCCGAAATGGCTCCGTGTGACTTTTGGCTATTTCCCAAGCTGAAAGTGCCGCTGAAAGGAACCCGATTTGAGTCAAGAGAAGGCATGCGGAATGCAACGGCCTGGCTGATCACCATTCAAAAAGACGCGTTCCAGAAGTGTTTCCAACAATGGCGGAAGCGCTGGGAGAAGTGTGTGCATTACCAAGGAGACTACTTTGAAGGGGATTGGGGTTTTGTACCTCCAAATCAGTAAATGTATTTCTGCCGATCAAAGGTTCTATACTTTTTGAGCACACCACGTATATACACCACTGAACTGTAGTACTAATAAAATTGCATGCAATAATATTAATTATATTAAAATACTTGGCTAAAAATACAATAAATTAGATTATATAAAACAAAAGTTATAGTATAAAACAAGAATAAAATTCTTTGAGTGATTCTTTACATCATCAAGTCAGTCATTGGTTTTTGTGATTTTGTTGTGTTCCCACGGACAAATTGGAGTATTCAGTATCTTGTGTATATATAATAAACTGTTTTGGAGGCTTGTGATGT